CCAAAGAGGAGAAAGGGATGTTTGCCGAGTGCAGACTTGAATTACATGTGCCTGAAATAGATAGCAGGCATAGTTAGATGCTGGTTACCCTTTTCTTCTCTCAGAGCATTATACCAAGAGGTAAGAAACAATGAACGCGTCCCAGTTTCTGTAGGTGAGTGATGTAGTCCTATGTGTTGAGTGACAACCCTGGCTTGTTTTTCTTCTCCCCTACAAACGTACCAACGTTGAGCTACTTGCTGCTTTTAGGAACCTGCAGCCCACTCATCATTACTTATCTCCATTTTAGCAAGAAAGAGGTAGATAAAACCCATGGGAAGTTTGTAGACTTCAGAACTGGACAGGTTTGGGATTGCATTGTAGCTTCACCTACAGAATCTGGGCGAGTAGTTTAGCCTTCTGGTTCTTACTTTATGAGATGAATAGCGACAGCCCTGCAGGTGCTATAAGGAGCATCAGTGTTGGGAAGTGCTCCTCGGTGTGTGAGGCTCCCTGTGTGGGATCTGAAACGTACTCGACTCTCACGGATGATCAGCATGACACATAGGCGGGTCTTTAAAAGGTTCATGGAAAATTATGAAAAAACCTGTATCGATTTCAAAATTTGTTGCACCAAAATCAACTTACCTTTTTTTAAAAAAAAAAAAGATTTATTTATTCATTTATATGAAAGGCAGAGTTACAGAGAGGCAGAGGCAGAGAGAGAGAGAGAGAGAGATCTTCCATCTACTGGTTCACTTCCCAAATGGCCACAACGACAGGAGCTGGGCTGATCTAAAGCCAGGAGCCAGGAGTTTCTTCCAGGATGCCCACGTGGGTGCAGGGGGCCGAGGACTTGGGCCATCTTCTGCTGCTTTCCCAGGCCGTAGTAGAGCTGGGTCAGAAATGGAGCAGCCAGAACTCGAACCAGCGCTCATATGGCATGCTGGCTCCGCAGGCTGGGACTTTAACACTTTGCACCACAGCACTGGCCCTGCAATTGTTTTTTAAAATGTCAAAATCTCGGGGCTGGCGCTGTGGTGTATTGGGTGAAAGCTGCTGCCTGCAGTGCCGACATCCCATATGGGTGCTGATATCCCATATGGGTGCTGATTTGAGTCCCGGCTGTTCCACTTCTGATCCAGCTCTCTGCTATGGGCTGGGAAAGCAGTAGAAGATGGTCCTGGAAGAAACTCCTGGCTTCTGGCTTTGGATCAGCCCATCTCCCGCCATTGCGACCATTTGGGGAGTGAACAAATGGATGGAAGATCTCTCTCTCTCTGCCTATGCCTCTGCCTCTCTGTAACTCTGCCTTTCAAATAAGATAGATAATTTAAAAAAAAAAGTCAAAGTCTTACATATTTGCTGTATTTTTAAAAATTTCAATAATTTTTCTTCTCTGTAAGTCTGTAGGTTGAATGGTAGAATTGTTAAGCATGAGGTAGTTATTCCACAGTAGGGCGGAGAGAGTTAGTATAAATCTAACATATGAAAGTGTATGCTTTAAAAGCTTATTTATTCCAACATGCTACCATATTTAGATGTTGCCACAATCAGATGTTACATAAGGACATAAATGTTAATGTTACTCTGTAACGATGCCTTAGTATACATGGATGGCTAAATCCCACATACCAGGTAGAGGTACTGTAATATTTGTACCCTCAGTTTCATCCAAGGGATTTGCCCTCCCTGCACATTATATTGTTTGGTTCATCCTCTGGGTTTATTTCAGGATTACTGGGCATGCGTGTGGCGTTCTGTTTATTCATGGACTGCGTGATGATCAGGCAGAGGTTCTAGACAGATGATTTCCAAGTTTAGACCTGGATCTGATTAATTGAGACTCTGTGACCATTTGTCTTTCTGTTGTCCTAGCCATCTTTGGTAACTCATGTGCTTTTATGCAGACTTACAGAATGTGTTCTCTGTACTTCTTTTGCTGAATTTTCTAGCACATTTTTAAATTGTCTCAGTCACAGAGAACTAATAAAATAGGGACCCTTGCTGTGCATATCTGGAAGCAGATAGGCACGCAGCTTATTTTGGTTTAACATTACTTATGACAATTTTAAGTTGAGGAAGTAAAGATGTTTTTATGTTTGAAGAATTTCTGTGTTTGAGGAAGTCGTAGTCACAGCTTGATTTATGAGACTTCCCTCTCTGTTCACTTTTCCAGCCAGTGGCAGCACAGTTCACGCAGTTCCATGAGCTGTAGTTCCGGAGGTGTCTGTGTCGTTCCTTTCACTCCATTGTCCCTGCGTCCACAGGGTCTCTGAGCTCTGCTGCTGTTACCCCCTCGCTGCTGCTGCAGCTCACCGCAGCTTCTCTTCTGCTGCTGTCCAGATCAGGGCCAGATGCTGCTCACAGCTCTTCCCTGACTGATCTCCCTGCTTCCCCCGGTGCTTCTCTTCACAGCTGGTTGTTTATCCTCAATGAAATCTGACTGTGTTCCTCTCCTTAAAACCTTTAAGAACTCCTGTCAGGTCCAAGTCCAAGGTTCTTAACATTATAGTTATAACTAATCTTTACTCATCCTTTAAGACAAAAACAGAATCTCCTTTAGGAGTTCCTGACTACCCCACGACAGGAGATTGTTTTTCTGTACAGTAAATACTCTAGTACCTGGATTTTACCTTTTGAGAAAGCAATGAAGAAAACCAGCTAGTTCGTGTGTGAAATTTCCTCCTACCCAGGAAGAATGTGGTGGCAAGTAAAGTCTCAGTATGGTAACAGATTTAAAACTCCATTGCAGCAAAGCTTATTAAACCCAAAGAAAGAATATACACCTTGAGAGGAGGATAATGTGTAGTAGCAACATACAGAAAAGCTAGGAATCAAAAGAATAAAATTGGCGGAGCCGTTTTTGGCAGCCTTCGTGGTGGTTTACCTGATCCTGTTGTCCAGTGCTGATCTATCCTTGCTGTATAGATGGGTGCATCACACTGTTGATACTGATGTCATTCTAATCAGTCTGCTCTCTTAGCTCACACACAATGATCAAGTCAACATTTAGTAGATGGAATAGTTTGCTTTTTGGGAAGAAATGCTGCTGTCACTTCCTATATAAATAAGTGAATTGGGGTAACATACCAGTTTTTTGGTTAGCATGAGTCATGTTTGGTGGTCGTACTGATACGGTCACTGTTTCTGGGTCAGCAGAGCAGAAGGCCGGATCCTTGAGCACTCTGAATGCACCGGGTAGCAGCACACTGGGACACTTCTTGGCAGCCACAGCTGCTCTGGTGACACCTACCGTGGTGTGATATGTAACTCAGTGCCTTCTTTGTTTAAAATCAGCTATGGGAATGTTTTTCTTAGGCTTCTAAAAATATTAATATTTAAGTTATTTAGGTAAATATATGAGAATGTAGTCTTCTACCATAGTGCTGTTTTCCTGACTGTTTGGATCTGTGGTTTTGCTAAGTATATTGCTATAAATTTCCTAGGCCTTTATCCTCCCTAACTGGTCCTACCCTCAGGGTTCATGAAACATACTTTGAATTTTGAGTTTATTTACAATTAAATAATGAATTCAGGGTCCAAAATGGTATTTCACTCTTTTGTCCTGGATGTTTGCAAAATGGAGCCATTTATTGAACATCTGTGTGGCAATATGGCAGGCAGTGTACTGGATTACATTTAATATTTTCAATATTACTCCTGTGAAGTATTTTTTTTTTTTCATTTAGTTTTATTTACTTGAGAAAGAGAGCGCGAGCGAGCAAGTGCTGCCATCATTTGGTTCAGTCCTCAAAAGCCCACAATGGCCAGGGTCGGACCGGGCGTGGGTGAAGCTGGGAGCTGAGGAACAGTGTCCTGATCTGTGTGAGTGGCAGGAAGCCAGTTACTTCAGCCATCACTGCTGCTGCTTAGTCTTCAGTAGCAGCAAGTTCAGTCAGGAGCTGCAGTTGAGCATTGAACCCAAGCGAACTGAGATGGATGCGGGTATCTTAATCACTAGGCTACACCTCCACCCCTGAAGTATTTTTATAGATGAGGAATTTGAGACTCAAAGAAGATTAAATGACTTTTCCATGGTCGCAGCTAGGAAAATAGCAGAGCTGGGTTTGATCCCAGAGCCGTTAATTTCCAAAGTCCCTTTTATTAGTGCACAGAGCTTAGCTAGCACATTTAGTTATGTTTAAATAAACATATGTGTGCATTTTAATGTATGTTTTTAATAACTTTTATACTTTTTTTAAACCTGTAGAACTTAATTAAATAGCTGTTCTACATTTATTTTGGATATCTTTCTTGTTGGGGGATTTTTATAAAAAGAGTATTATGGATTTCCATAATATTCTTACATGTATTATATGGATAGTTGATTTCTCTGAGATACATTTTTAATAGATTTATTTATTAAATATGAGAGTCAGAATTAGAGAGAAGGAGAGACAGAGAGAGAGAGGTCTTCCATCGGCTGGTTCACTCCCCAGATTGCCACAATGGCTGGAACTGCACTGAAATGAAGCTAGGAACCAGGAGCGTCTTCCGGGTCTCCCACGGAGGTGCAGGGGCCCAAAGACTTAGGGCATCTTCCACTGCTTTCCCAGGCCATAGCAGAGAGCTGGATTGGAAGTGGAGCAGCCGGGACTTGAACCAGCACCTATATGGGATGCCCACACTGCAGATGACGTTCTTACGCGCAATGCCAGAGCTCCGGCTCCTGATATACATTCTTGCCTAGTTATAACAGCCCCTCCTCTTTCCCAAATTAATTTCTATCAAAATGTTGATTCTTGCCAAAGGTTTCTTTAATCGTTATTTACTATTAAATGTGTGACTTTTCCTTAAAAGGAAAATGGCTTTGTTTTTAGGGCAGCACCATTTCCCAACAAAATCTCTTACCCTTCCGCAGTGTACGTTCTGCCTGTTCAGCAGCAGCAGAAGCTCTGCATTGTTTTCTGCTGTAAGTGTGAGCTAAGGGGACAGACATTCCTCCTGCTTAGTGGGCGCACTAAAGCTGTGCTCTGTGCTTGTTGTATTATTAATGGCACCATGCTTTTATGTTGCAGATGGCCAAGAGCTAGCAAGGAAAATTCAAGACCATGATGGCTCAGTTTCCCACAGCAATGAATGGTAAGCAGCTTTGTACTTGTGACAAGATAAGCTAAGGGTTTTTTGTTTTGTTTTGTTTTGGGGGGGGAGGGGAGAAGTGTAAAATGTTCACGTGAGTAATTTTCCTTAAGCTTATAAATGCGAAACTTAAAGTACTCTTGTTGAATATTCTGACAGTGTATTTCAGAGCACTGCATATGTTGTCTGTTAGGATATTATGCAGTGAGTCGCACAACTCAGTTTGTTCGTGATCTGCAGTTTCGTATGGAATATGTGCTTGCCATTGAGTAGTTAAGAATAACCCAAAGATATGTTGCGTTATGACTGGAGGACAAACAGCAGAGTGTTATAAGGTGAATATTAAAGATGTTTTTGGTAGTAAAGTGTGATTGCAAACTGATGAAGCCAGTAAAGACTCATTGAGTAACATACATGTAGATTGTTTTCCCTTTTAAAGAGTTCTGCATGTTTACATACATACTTGTTTAATATGAAATATTTCTTAAAAAATTATTTGAGGGGCAGAGAGAGCGAGCTCCTATCTGTTAGTTTGTTCCCTTATTGCCCCAATAGTCAGGGGTTAGGGGTTCCCTGAAACACGGGTCCAGGAATTTACTCTAGCTCTCCCACACGGGTGGCAGCAACCCAACTCCTTGAGCCCTCACTGCTGCCTCCCAGGATCTGCATTATCAGGGAGCTACAGTCAGAAGGCAGAGCCAGTGTCAAACCTAGGCACTGAGATGTGGCAAGCGGACATCCCAGCCGATCTCTTAATTACCAGTGCAGATACTCACCCTAGTAGGAAACATTTTTAAAGAAAATGTTTAGATATTTTTAATAATGAAAAGTATGTTAAACTTTGTTCTGAATCTAGTTTTAATTCCTTTCCCAAATACTAATTAACTCCCCTTAATAGGTATTAAGTTACTGTGTTTGTCATTTAGAATGAATTGAGAAAATGTATTTTTAAATCACCACAAAGAAATTGTGATGCTGAGTTCTGAAAATTTTTTTAAAGATTTGTTCAGAGACAGAGCGATCTTTTTCATCTGCGGTGGCTGGAGCTGAGCCAATCTGAAGCCAGGAGCTTCTGGGTCTCCCACAAGGGTCCAGGGGCCCGAGCCCTTGAGCCATCTTCTGCTGCTTTCCCAGCTGCATTAGTAAGGAGCTAGATTGGAAATAGAGCAACTGGGCCTTGAACCAGCCCCTATCTGGGATGCCAGTGTTGCAGATGGTGGCTTTACCTGCTATGCCATAGCACCAGCCCCACAGGTGCTTAATTTTTTATTAAATTTCATTAGCTGTTTGTAAAAGATGCAGGGAAATAAAGTCAATAATTTTTTTTATTTATTCGTAAGTCAAAGAGTTATACAAAGAGAAAAGGGGCAGAGAGAGAGAGAGGTCTTCCATCCGATGGTTCACTCCCCAATTGGCCGAAACGGCTGGAGCTGTGCTGATCCAAAGCCAGGAGTCAGGAGCTTCTTCCAGGTCTCCCATGTCGGTGCAGGGGTCCAAGGAGTTGGGCCATCTTCTGCTGCTTTCCCAGGCCACAGCAGAGAGCTGGATCGGAAAAGGAGCAGCCAGGGCTAGAACCGGCGCCCATATGGGATGCTGGTGCTTCAGGCCAGGGCGTTAACCCACTGCGCCACAGTGCCAGCCCAAAGTCAATAATTTTTAACAGGTAAATTGAAAATAGTAATATTACAGAATAGTAAAAAAAGGATCATCATTATACCATCTTCACAGAACAATGATTTTTTTTTTTAAGATTTATTTATTTTACTTGAAAGTCACAGTTACACAGAGGGAGGAGAGGCAGGGTTGGGGGGCAGTCTTCCATCCACTCGTTCACTCCCCAGATGGCCGCAATAGCCGGAGCTACGCCAGTCTGATGCCAGGAGCCAGGAGCTTCTTCCAGGTCTCCCACACGGGTGCAGGGGCCCAAGGACTTGGGCCATCCTGTACTGCTTTCCCAGGCCATAGCAGAGAGCTGAATTGGTAGAGGAGCAGCCGGGTCTCAAACTGGTGCCCACATGGGATGTGAGCAATGCAGGCAGTGCCTTTACCCACTACGCCACAGTGCTGGCCCCAATAAACAATCAATTAGAAAAAATTCTAAACAAAATAATAGCAATTCAAACCCAGGAATGTCATTTTTAAAAAATCACAACCAGTTTGAGTTTATCACACAAATGTAGTGATGAATTATAAAAAATCTTATTTCAGCACATTTTTATAAAACCATATGATCATCTAAGACGATACAGGGAAAGCATTCAATAAAATTCAGTAAAATTTACCTGCTATGCCACAGCGCCGGCCCCAACAATGCTGTTTTGAGATTGGTGTCTGATGTTTCATCATTTGTATCTTTTTCATTTAACTTGTTTTTGTCATAAGCCAAATCAGTGAGTTGATTATAATTGCATGTTGTATATATCTCCAGATTTAAGCTTTAGGATTTAAGAAAGTTTTAGAAAAATGAATTCTTTGCATAAAACGTAGAATCGAATTCTAATGTGTGGAGGGCTGGCACTGTGGCTCAGCAGATTAAGCTGCTGTCTATGACACTGGCATCCCATATGACAACTGATTTGATTCCTGGCTGCTCCACCTCTGATCCATCTTCCTGCTAATGTGCCTAGGAAAGCAGTGGAAGATGGCCCAAGTGCTTGAGCCCTGCCACCCATGTGGGACACCTGGGTGGAGTTTCTGGCTCCTGGCTTTGTCCTTACCCAGCCCAGACCCAGCTGTTGAGGTCATTTGGGAAGTGAACCAGCAAATGGAGTTCTCTCTCTGTCTCTCCCTCTCTCACTGAAACCCTGAATTTCAAATGAATAAATAAATCTTAAAATTCTAATATGTGGAAGAGTCTGTGCCAGTTAATTAAGGATGTGCTTGAGGTAAGACTTTTTGTTGTTGTTTTGTTTTTTTTACCTTTTCAGAACTGTTACTTAAGGATTAATGGGAGCATTGCTCCTGTTGTGGAAATGGTGTGGGATAATAAAGCTTGATGCAGCAGATGATTTTTAAAATTGAATCATTTTTTCCAGAATGAGTGATATATGTACATTTAAACTTAGGATAATCATTATAGTGGTAATGTATGCAACCTAAGTTTGAGGATTTTCATATCCCATAAAATTTAAACACATAAAAGCACAGTTTAGTTACAAACTTCACCCAGCATGTTAATCAGGCTTATAAACTAAATGAATGTAAAAGAAAGCAGTAGAATCCCAGTCTTCATTCTGTTTCTTCTATTCTATAAATATTTGTGTATCTAGTTCATGTAGCTCATTGCATTTTATTAAGGGGTTTCAAAAAGTTTGCAGAAAATGGAATTAAAAAATAGCATGCAAAGTGGGTATTTAGCCTAGAGGTTAAGACACCCATGTCCCACACAGAGTGCGTGGGTGCCGACTCCAGCTTCCCACCAGCATAGACTCTGGGAGCAGCAGTGCTGACCCAGGTAATTGGGTTCCTGCTGTACACGTGAGAGACTTAGATTTCATCCTGGCTCCCGCGACCACAGCTGTTGCCGGCATCTGGGGGAGTGAGCTCGCTGATCTGAGCACATACTATCTCTCTTTCTCTCTCAAATAAATTATTGTTTTTTACAAAAACAAGTGCTTTCCACAAACTTTTTGAAGTCCCTTGTATATAAAAGAATAATCCTGGAATGAAACTAAGAGTTTAATAACAAAGTTAATGTAAATAATTGTCTGAAATGTTGGGCAGTTAACTTCGAAGTGGTTTATAGGAATAAAAGTAGTAATTTTTAAGTTTCTGAAGACTTGATGGTAAATGTAGACTGTGTGATATCCCTACTTAGTTAATAAAACAGCTGAGGATAAGTTGCATATATCTAAGGAAGTCCAATTCAGTGTTTAACATCTTACTGAAAGCAGCATTCATGTATAGCATAAAACCTTGAAAAGCAGTGTTTGCTACTCTAGGAAATCTTCAGTCACATATTAAGTTTTTGGTGTTCAGTGTGGTTGGGACTTGTCTGTAAATGTTGTTTGTCCAGATGCTCTGGCACATGCCTCAGATTTAGCCATCTGTTTACTATATTATCCCAACACTAACCATGGACTTTGTTTTTAGATTTTATTTATTTAGTTTAAATTTTTTTTAGTTTTTAACAGATTCAATATAGTTAACAGATATAACTCTTAAGCTTATAATAATATTCCTTCCTCGCTCCCTAGCCATAGATTTTTTTAGGCTGTTTTTGTTCTTGGAGGGCTGCGGTGCCTACTACAGTAGCCACAAGCTACTTGTGATTTCAATTTAAATGAATAAAAATCAAGTGAAAAAGTCTGTCCCTCAACCACACATCTGCATTACAAGTGCTCGAGGCCACACTTGGCTAGTGCCGCCCCATTGGACAGTGCAGTTGTAGAACCGCTACATCACTTCAGAAGCTTTTGTGGAACAGCGCTTTCTCAGGCTCTTTGATGTTTCACTTTCCATTTCCTTAACAGAACTAAATGTCAGCAGTGCATTACATTTTGACCGCTGCGACTCTGCTACTGGTGTGTTTTGCAGCAGTGGACTCATCCTTGCAATGCCTTGTTTAATCATGAAGCGTTTGCTTCTTTTAAAAACTTTAATGAGTATGTGAGCCTTTTGGGTGACAAGCAGGAGGCTACTTGAGATTTGTAGGGCTGCTGGATGCTATCACAGTGTGATAATAGCTTGCTTCCGCCTCAGAATTGTGGGGTTCTGAAGAGTGGTTAAGTGAAGAATTTCTGAAACCCATCATGGTGCCTGTGTACAAAATGGAAGCGAGAAGAAAGGAGAGAACAGGAGCAGCCAGTGGCTCTAGGAAGAAAAAATGCCGTTTTATTTTTAGAGCTTTATTGCCTTAGAATTTTCTCAATTTAGTAATGAATTGGGGGAAGTGGATAGAATTTAATGCCTTTCTCTCTCTCTCTTTTTTTTTTTAAGATTTATTTACTTATTTATTTGAAAGGCAGAGTTACAGGAAGGCGGGGGAGGGAGAAAGAGATTTT